TCAGGTGTGGCCAAATCAGAGGTCCCCTGCTTCCTAGTCCTGCCTTTTCTCCCTGATTTTGGACAGCGGGGGTGAAGATTCCTCTCTCTGAGGTGATATTTGTGTCCTGCTGCTTTCTGAGCTTGTCTACTCCAAGGACATCTGTCCCTCTTCTTGTCTGAGCCTTGCTAGAGATGGATATATGGGACATATGGAGGAGGGGCATCTAATTCCTCTGGAGGAGCCTGCAAAATTGGTTTCTCTTGGCTCCCTAAGAGTTTAATTTCTTTTTTGGGAGGCTTATACATTACATTTTCTCTGGCCTCCTTTGGGCCTCCTCAGGCAACCAGGGTTTTGCAGTACTCAGCCATGCACTGTCTTAGCCACTTGAGCTGCATCTGAATTACATTTAGCCAAAAATCAATAGGTGGAAATTGATCTGGTTGCCCAGGTGGGCCTGATGCCCCTGTTATTATTTCACTTGGTTAGTAATCTTCCTGTCTAGGGTGCCCTCTGGAGGCCAACCAACTCTAAAGGCAGACCACTCCAGATTACAGAGGGTCCTTAACTTCTGAAGGGACAATTTGACACAATACTCCCCTGAAAATACTTTCTTGACATTTTCTAGAGTATACTCCATAGGAGAGCATTTTTGTCTCTTTGCCTCCCTCTTCCACTCATCATGACACACACACCTCAGACATTTTTTCCAGGCTGACCTGGCCGGGCCTTATTACATGGAGGTTTGGGTAATGCTTGGTCAGGAGGGTTTCTTAATCCCTTATGGTGCACCTGCCTTTTACAGGGATGCTCCTGTTGACCTTATTCACCACCCTAGAACAAGCCAGCTACACTCTCACCTCGGAGGGCAGAGTCCATGCTAAGGAAACTGTGTCTCCCCACGTCACTACCTGCATTGGTTCCTTCCAAAGCTGTCTCTTCCTCACACTTTCACACACCTCCCCCATCTCAAAAATCCTCAACAGACATGGCAGGTCCCTCCCACACTCTGGGGCAGTTCACACACACCTCTATTCCTAAGACTTCATATGGAGCCTTTCTCAAGTCTTAGGGCTACTTGCTCATTCGGCTGGTTTTACTTTCTCTGTACTGACTCAGCGAGCTCTATCTTGCTGTTCTGTGTCAATTGCTGGCTCAGGGGGCTCTATCTCACCTTTCTGTGTTGGTTGACAGTCTGAGTTTTGTCTTTTCAGTTTCTTAATTGTGGTTTTGTATGAGCAGAAGTTTGAAATTTTTATGAAGCTCAGTTCACTTTTATTCTTTTATAGTTACTGCCTTATCTCTCTAATCTAAGAGATCTTGGCTTATCCCAAAGTCAGAAAAATAGTCTTCCACATTTTCTTTTAGAGTCATCATAGTTTTAGTTTATACATTAAATCTGTCATTCATGTCACATGTCACATTACTTTTTGATATGGTGTGAGTTAGGATTTCAAGTTTCCTCTTTTTTTTTTTTCAACATACAGATATCCAGTATTTTCAGCACTACTGTTGTTTCCTTTTTTTCATTCATCTGCTTTGGTATCTTCATAAAAGATCAACTAATTTTTTACATATTGGTCTAATTCTGTACTGTTCCATTGATATCTTTTTCTGTTGATATATTTCTCTTGATCACTATGACTTCATAAAGTCTTGAGAAAAGATTGTGTGAGTGCTCTCAGTTTGTACTTATTCTTTCAAGATTAACTATTCTTGGACTTTTACATTTCTATATGAATTTCAGAAACAGTTTATTAGTTTATTAGTTTCTGCAATGAAGCCTGTTTAATATTCTGGGAGAATTGTAGTGAATCCAGATCATTTGGGGAGAATCAACATCTTATTACTGGTTTTCAAAAATTCATAGTTTTCAATGTAGCAATCTTGCATATCTGTTTACAATTTATTCTTATGTTTTATAACATTACTGTAAACAGAACTTTCAATTTTTATTTTCCAATTATTTGCTGTCAGTATGTAGATATACAATTCATTTTTGTATATTGACCTTGTAATCTGGAATGTTAAATGCACTTATTACTTCTAGTGGTTTGTTTATATAGAAAACTAAGAAATTTGCAAGTAAGAAGTATAGTTTTACTTCTTTCTTTCAAATCTTATGTCTTTCATTTCTTTTTATTGCCTTACTATACTAGCCAGGAATTTCATCGTGTAGAACAGAAGTTGTGACAGTGGGCATAATTGCCTTGTTCCTGATCTCAGGCAGAGGCTGGGTGTGACGTGGGAAGCAGGAGGGACTCACTGGTGTTGGAGGAGGACCATAAAGAGCCCTAATCCGGCAACAACTGCACACATGCTGAAAGAACTTATGAAAGAATGACTTGAATGCCTTATATTTTTATTTTATTTCATTCATTTTGAGATAGGGTCTCGCTCTGTTGCCCAGGCTGGAGTGCAGTGGCGTGATCTTAGCTCACTGTAACTTCTGCCTTCCACTTTAAGTGATCCTCCCCCTTCAGCCTCCCAAGTGGCTGGAGTTACAGGCATGTGCCACCACACCCAGCTAATTTATGTATTTTTTGGAGAGATAGGGTTTTGCCTTTTGCCCGGCCTAGTCTCAAACTTCTGAGCTCAAGTGATCTGCCTTGGCCTCCCAAAGTGCTGGGATTACAGGCATGAGCCACTGTACCCCACATCAGATATCTTAAGAGCAGGAATTGGCAGTGGCATGGAAGCCAGGGAAGCATGTGGAGGATGTGAAGCCTGCAGATGGGGGTGCAGTGCACACCTTGAGAGTCAGGATCCTGTCACGGTGCAGATCTGACAAGCGACCTAGCTGCTCGGCAAATGACCTGGAAGGCTCTACCCAGTGTCACAGCCAGGCATTCTGAGCTCCAAGGGTACAGAGATACAGAGGCAGGTGGGGAAGGCAAAGAGCCAGCTGCTGGGGTGTTCATTCTGCCTCCAAACCTCACCCCAAATCATGCCTGTGGGTTTGATATCATCTGGGCCTTGGGCTGAGTTGTATCAGGTAATAAATATAGCCCTATCTTTTCCAGAGATATAAATGGAACAGGTGTTGGATGTGTTCTGTGCAGTTTACATAATCACCTCCTATTTGCCCCCAAAAACCCCCTCAAAAAGTTATTGTATCATTGAGTAACAAGAACTAGTCTTACTTGCCTTGTAGTGTAGCCCTCTTGGCTACTGGCATCAGAGGCTCAGTACGAAAGATAGCAGACAGAGGAAACGATCTGGCCACACCACAGCGTGCAGCAGAAAGAATCATGGAGGCTGCCTTTTGGGGCCCTCCCTGCTGGGTGAAGATCCTGCAGCCTCAGACAGGCCCAGCCTGTGTCTGCAGGCCTCCTGCTGTGAGGCCAGTAGGACCCACACACCACCCTGCAGGCATTGCCCCTGGACTCCCATGGCTGGATGTTGGCAGTGTGAAGTAGAGTCACCTGCTTGCAGCCTTCTAGCAAGTGTTCATACTGAGGGGTGGCAGGTGAGAGAGCCATCTAGATCAGCTGTGGAAACTAAGGCACAAGAGACTAACATTTTCAGACTCCAGTGAGGATCCATTGTACTTTGCAATAGTAAGCCACTGGGGTATCCATTGGGAAGATTTTGGAGCAGCCAGTGGCTTGGCTTGTTAAGGGATGTGGGTGAGCTGGTTTGAAGGCTGCTGCTCTACTCGGCCCCAGAACACCTTAGCAGAAGCTGGCTGGGCCAGTTTTCTACAAGAAGCTGCTTCTGCAGTACAGCCCTGGCCTTAGAGGGGCATGGAATAGCTTCAGCTCTTCATTCAAGAGGGAACTCCTGCTGCACACCTGGGGAGCCTGGAAGACAAACCTTTGGAATGTGCCCCACTTTCCGGCTCATGCCCTGCTCAGGTCCCCTGGTGCTGGAGAACCTGGAGGACAAACCTTTGGAATGTGTCCCACTTTCCAGCTCATGCCCTGCTCAGGCCCCTAGTGCTGGCCACCAGGCTTGGCTTCCCCATCTTGGATGCAGTGTCTCTCTCCACCTGCCTTGCCAATGACAGAGCGAACATCCTAAAGTCCAGCACTGTCCTTGCAGCTGTGCCCAGAACCCACCACATCCTCTGTTGCCCAAGGGCACTCAGGCCTTCCCAGTCTGTTCTAATCCCATCCATACATTTCCCCCGACAACAGCCAGGGCCTAATGCCTGATGGGAGCACATACCCTCTGCCAGGCTGAACAAGAGCCAGGTACTCTGGTCTGTTCTGCTGTTGTCCCCACAAACTTTATTTTGCATTTCCTCATCACCACTGCCAAACCCCCAAACTCTCCATTCTGTATTCTTAGGTAACTATAAACTGCAATCGTCTCTAGGCAGTTCTGATAGAATTGCTAATAGCATCAGTTATTCACAAAAATGTCTGTTTAGACAACATTCTCTGGGCATTCTACAGACACATCCCGGATCCCTGGCCCCCTTCAGGCCTGTGTGCAAAGGGAGCCCTGCTCTGTGTCCTATGCCACTCCCAAGGCCCAGGTGAGGGCCTTCCCTGGAATATCTTCAGCCCACAACCATGACTCCCCCCATTGCTAACCCCCAGGGTGCTGTGTGACAGGGCAACGGGGTGAGAGCACATGGTTGCGTGTTCTTTGAAGTGCATATAAAAGACTGTGTAAGACCATAGAGCATCTTTCTGGGTGCTCATCCTATTTTCCAAGAACGTCACCAAAAACAGTTGTCTGTGGCCACTCAGCCAGGCCAGGAAGCCCCAGGTCCTAACTAGGGCCTTCAGCTGAGGGCAGGGAGGGCTTCACAGATCAGGCCCTTCCTAGTCTGCAAGATTAGACAATGTCACAGAGCTGGGGCAGTAGCTCACCCCATATAAAGGTTTGCTATTATAATTTCGATAATTAGTTATTGTTATTACTATCTGTGTTCTGATTAGGGCAATTTACACGTGGTCCCGTCCCCTGGTAACTGTCAGATTAATCGTCATCAGAAGTACAGGGTTCTGTTTCATTTTTTTCCCAGTATATAAACAGAAACATAAGGTGTGGCACGTGGCAGGGATGGCTGCTTCTCCTTTGCATGTGGCTATTCCTCACCAAGCACCCACTCCTTGCCAATCTCTGCCATGCCAGGCCCTCAGCTCCCTCTCCAGTCCTCACAGTGACCCCACCAGGTAAACAGCATTGTTTCCACTTGATAGATGAGAAACCTGAGGTTCAGGGAAGCGAAGGAACTTGCCCCTTTCCAAACTCTAGAAGGAGGTAGTGTTGGGATATGATCCCAGATCTATCTGACCCCAAAGCCTGTACCACATGTATGAGAACTTCTTGGGTACAAATATGGGACTGCCACACAGGTGCTTCCTTTTGGGTCTGTTTTTCAAATGCTTACACAGAAATAAATGCCAAGTCAACAGCTACTTTTGTCTTCAGTGAAGGCCCTGCCATGCTGTCGTGTGGTTTCATTGGTTGTGGTTACAAGGCATGTTCTTCGCTCCAACACCCCTGTGCTTTCTAGGGAAGTGGATTGCCATCTAAGTGGGAGGTGGGCTGGGACTATCTTCATTGTCTCCAGAGCTGGATGACTAAGTAAGGTGAATGCCTCTTCCAAGCCTTGATCCTTTTGCACTTGAAGAAGCACATTGAAAATACTAGAAAAACATGGCCATCAGGGCTCTGACATTTGGATTCCTGGTTCTCCAGACAGTGAAAAGCGTATGACTTCCAAAAATGAGAAGACTTGACATGTTCAAGGTTCTGTTTTAGAGAATAGTGATAAGACTTAGCAACTACCCTCCAGGAAATTCATTCCATTTGAGGTAGCACAGATATTGCAGTCTGGTCCAGCATTCCAGGATTCCAGAAGGCACCTGAGTGCAGAACCAGCTTATCCAGAGCATACATACACATAGAGTGTGATCGCTTTTCTTTCACCATATTTTCTGTCTCTTCAATTTCTCATGTATTCATCCATCCATCCACCCTCTCATCCATCCGTCCATCCATTCTTTCATTTCTCTATCCTGTTTATTCATCCACCCACCCATCCACCCATCCATCCTTCCATCCATCCATCCATCCATCCATCCATCCATCCATCCATTCTTTGATGCATGCACGGATGGACGCATGGATGGATCCATCCAGTCATCAGTCAGTCCTATCTGTCCATCCGTCCATTCATCCATGCATCCATCCATTTATTACAACCAAACATATTCAAAGCTTTTGTTCCTATTCTTTCCTTAACCTGAAGCTCTTTTTCCCAGAGGTCCATATGGTCCATCTCTGCTTCTTTCCTGAATGTGCTCAGGTTTCCCTTTCCTAGCAAGTCCTTTCCTTACCACCCTATAGAATAACAGCAGCTCTCCCAGTGTTCCTCTCTATTCTCCTTCTTCTACTTTAGTTTTTTAATACCATTTGTTGAGGCAGCTGTTTTATATTATATATTATATATATTATATAAGACAGCTGTTTTATATTTTACAAATATATCACTGACCACCTCATATAAAAACAGCAACTCTCCCATTGTTCCTCTCTATCCTCCTTATTCTGCTTTAGTTTTTTAACATCATGTGTTGAGATACTCTATATTATTTTGTTTATAGGAGGATAGAGCATTTGTTAGCTTCATTATAATTTTATTATATCCTACCCTAAAACAGTACTAGTTCTAAAATAAGTACTCAACGTGTATTTATTGAAAAATTGAGTCAATGACGGAATGAATATTATAACTAAGTATATGCTATCTTTAAGAATCACTCTTTCGGAAGATTACATACTCAATTCCAATGGTGCCATTTGTAACTTTTTAAAATTAATAATTACTTGTGTCATGCTAAGCATGTGTGCATTTTTATTTCTAACTCATGATATGCTGCAGGAGGGCGATGTATCCCCACTGTTAAGATGGAGAATCTGGGGCTTCCCAAAGTGACATAGCTCATGGATGGCCAGCCCAGGCTTCTGACTCAGTCCATCTGCAGCCAGCCCCCTTCCCTACTCAACACGGACTCTCAGTCATCTCAGACTTCCTTTCACAGAAGCCTCTCATACCTGTTTTAAGAGCTGCACACAGAGCCCAGCCCCATCACCCTGTGGCCATACCCAGCCCTTTGCCATGTCCATCTGACATGTTTATTTACTGCCTTGTCTGATTTGGCACCAGATTATTTTGACTGCTTCCCAAACTCCATCAAAAAGTATAACTGTGCCTAAAGACAAGACCTAATGTGCTGCTGAGGACAATGCCAAAGGGGCTGGTCTCCACAGCTTATTATCCCAAAGTTTAAATTCAAAAAGGAAAAATTTAGAAAAACCATCCAATTAGAAATGTCCCATTACTTAGGAACAGTAACAATAAATAGATAAAACTTCAACCAAACTAAGAAGGTAGAACTGAAGACACAAGATTTATCACAATTTCAGAGGGTAATGATAGTTGCAAGTTGAGGAAACAGAGGGGTATAAGTGTATGAAATTGATGGTAGAGCCTGGAAAGACACATCCGGCAAGCAAGAAAAAAGATATCCAAGAAAATTTTGAAACTCACTAGTAAGAGAATGAATAACCATAGTGTAGATATAAATTTGATGTTACTGGATATTAATATCTCAAAGTAAAAAAGCAGCATTCAAAAATGTAAAGTAGAAGGGCAGCATTCAAAAGTGTACATACAAGATGAAAAATTACATTAAAATACCTGGAGAGAAGCATATGTGGCCAGGAGTGGTGGCTCACACTTGACATCCCAGTGCTTTGAAAGGCTGAGGCAGAAGGATCGCTTGAGGTCAGGAGTTGGAGACGAACCTAGGCAACATAGCATGACCTTGTCTCAAAAACTAATACCAACAAAAAAATTAAGCAAGCTGGCACATGCCTAGAGTCCCAGCGACTCAGGAGGCTGAGATACTGAATATATCCATCTCCTCCATTTTTCTTTTATCCTTTGGTAGTCTTTCCCTCCCACTCCTCTTTTCATTCCAAATCAACTAACCACCACTGTTCACCTTCTTGTCACTATAGATGAGTTTGAATTGCATATATAATTGTATAAAAATAGAACCATTAAAGTAAGCATTATTTTTTGCCTGATTTCTTTTATGCCACATAAATTATTTTGTGATTCATCCATGTTATTGCACTTACCTATAATGCATCTATTTTATTGTGATTTTCCCTGTAGCAGAAACCAGTTTAATACATTCTGTACCTGCGCCCTGTGAGACAGGCCCACCACCCACAGCCAGAAAACCCTAGGGCAGAGCACCCTGCAGCCCATGTCCAGCTCTTGGGCACTCGGGAAGGGAAGAGCAAAGTGCATCAAGTTCATAAAGAGAATAAAACAGGCTCAGGTGAGCCCAGGCCAGCAAGCCTCCAGTCAGTGTTTGTCTGTGGTGGCTGCTGGGCTCACAAACCCTCCTCAGTGCAGGCCAGACCTGTGGTGAGGCCAGCCAGGTCCACAGCCTTGAGCAGCTGGAGGTAGGTGAGGGGTGAACATAGTGGAGGTTGAGCCAGTCTGGCAGCCACTCAGAAGAGCAGCAGGTGCTTCTCCACCTTCCTGAGGTCTGCTGCTGCCGGCACCTGCCCACCATCCCAGCACAGGCCACCTCCTCACTGAGCGCCCCCTTGCACTCAGACACAAAGATGCCATGCAGTGCCCGGGCCAGTCTGTCATCCACTCCAGTCACTGCAGCCTGGCTTGTACTCCGGGCACCGTGTCACCTGCACCAGCTGCTTCTGTCTCAGATTGCTCAGGCAGGTCCTGGGACACACACTGCAGGGCGTTGGAAGGGATAGCGGGTGGGGTGGGGTAGCTGGCAGTGCTAGCCTGGAGGACGCTGGGCTGGGGGACCTGGGGTTGCTGGGCTGCACTGACCACAAGGCTGATTGAGTCAAGGCATCCTCCCTCCTGAGCAACATCAGGCTGAGGGCCCAGGCTGAAACCTCTCACGTGCTGGTGAGCTGCTCGGTGGTGGGCAGCTGGCGTGGCACAGCTGGCTCGATATCCAGCACCTTATCCATGTAGAAGTGCGAGTGCCAGAGGCTTGGAGAGATCGTGGGCACCGCCCTGGAGGGCTCAGTGAGACCATGAAGGCCTCGTGGTGCTCCTTGACTCACCCCACCATCTCCTGGCTGAAGACTGCAGGAGGCCTGAGCTGAAGGCTGCTCCGCTGGGCTGCTGGTTCAGCTCTGGGGCTTGACTGTGTGCTGGGAACCTGGGAACCGGATCCCGAGGCACAGTCCTTGACGGTGGGGTCCCATGATCTTGGCGGAAACTTTGAAAGGCAGCCTCCACGGTTCTGAGTTAGCCACGTTGCGCTCCCCAAAGCGCTTGAGCATCATGTCCCGGACATCCTGAGTGACCCTGGTGAAGGTCGTCATCTTGTAGCCATTGTGGCGCGTGCCCACAAGGGTGTCCACGCTGTGGAATATCCTGGCAGCAGCAGCCTTGGAGGGCCGGGCGGGGCGTGAAAACACTGGGAAGCGAGCACCTTCCCACCCCGCAGCGCCTCTGGGCCCCACGGCTTGTCTGCTTCCGGCGCTTCCCGCGCGTAGGGCTCCCCAGCATTCTGGGCACCGGGGCCACTGCCGGCACGCGTGAGCTCAGACAAGGTGAGCTTTCAGGCTCCTTGTCTGGCTGGGCTGCCAGGCGGGGCAGCTGATCTGCTGAGGGGTGGTTTTCTTCATCTTCTCGCCTACAGGACAGCAGGCTGAAAACTGCTGCTGTCCACTGCCGCAGCCTCCTGCACCTGTCATCCTGGTAGCGCCCTGGCGGCAGACAAGCAGCGGGCATGGCTGCAGCCACGTGTCCTGGCACAGGTGGCAGTGGAAGGCGGCCTCCTTTCGAGGCTCCCATGGAGGCCAGCACCATGTCTCGTTGACATTGTCTTCCCTGGAGGCGAAAGGACTGAAGCGAGGCTCCAGGCTATCGGCCCCACAGAGATGCGCATGCAGGGTTCAGGATCCGCACTCTTGCGCTGGGGCACCGCGCCTTTCAGCAGCAGCTGGAACTCCTGCAGCAGCGCCCCTGGTGGGATGCTGGGGCCTGGGTCCTGGCGGGCCGCTTCTTGTCTTGGCCCCTGCTCCTCTTCTCGTTGTTGAACCTTTGTCACTCTACCAGGAAAAGCATCCAGGCGTCCCTGATGCCGACACTGCCAGCGCGCTCAGCCGGGCTCAGGGAGAGGCGGTTCCTCCCAGGGCCCCCCAGGGGCCAGCAGGCCTATAGAGAGGAGGAGTAAGGCGCCCTGCAGGGCAGCTGGCCGGGACCCTGCGAGGGGCGGGTCAGTCTGGGCTTCAAGTTCAGCCTTTCAAGATTTCCCCGGACCCACGGCTTATAATGCACATGAGTCCCATGCCTTGTGCACCTCACGGTCACCACCCCTGATCTGCTCCCTCTCGTGTTGCAGCAGAGGGTGTGTAGGGGAGAGAGGGGCGCAGAGAGAGAAAAACCCCGGGGAGGGTGAAGATCTTTTCATAAGCTTTTTCCCATCTGTATGCCGTCTCTGATGGGAGCCTCTTTTGGTCTTTTGTCCATTTACTAATTGGTATGGTTGATATCTTATTGTTTTGTAAGTGGTTTTTAATGGTCTGGATGCAAGACTGGCGTTTTGGAAATATTTTCTCCCTGTCTGTGTCTCGTTTCTCCATTCTTTTAATATTTCCTTTCCCAGAGCGAAAGATTTTATTGTAATAAATTAACACCACTATCTTCTTTCATGGTAGAAATTTGTCTTTTATGTTCTTTAGTGTTGTATCTACAAAACCCAAAGTTACCCAAATATCTATTCCTTTTGTTATTTTACAGAAGTTTTACCACTTTTTTATTTAAATTTAGGTCTAAAAATTGAACTCGGGCTGGGCGCGGTGGCTCAAGCCTGTAATCCCAGCATTTTGGGAGGCCGAGGCGGGAGGATCACGAGGTCAACAGATCGAGACCATCCTGGTCAACATGGTGAAACCCCGTCTCTACTAAAAATACAAAAAATTAGCTGGGCATGGTGGTGTGTGCCTGTAATCCCAGCTACTCAGGAGGCTGAGGCAGGAGAATTGCCTGAACCCAGGAGGCGGAGGTTACGGTGAGCCGAGATCACGCCATTGCACTCCAGCCTGGGTAACAAGGGGGAAACTCCGTCTCAAAAAAAAAAAAAAAAAAAATTGAACTCATAAAAGTAGAGAGTAGAAAGGATTACCAGAGGTTGTGTTGCCTGGGAGAAAATGGGAAATTGTTCACTGGTGCAAAGATTCAGGTAAACAGGAGAAATATATTTTGAAATCTATTGTACAGCAGGATGACTACAGTCAATAATAATGTAGTATATATTTCAAAATAACAAAAAGTAAATTTCAAGTGTCTAACCACAAAAAAAAATTGAGATGATAAATATGTTATGCTTGATGTAGTCATTCCTCATTTTATACACATATCCAAGCATCCCATTGTACCCCATAAATGTATGCAATTATGATTTGTCAATTTAAAATATTAGTCACCTAAAAATGTGTCCTTTGAGTTAATTTTTGAGGTGCAAGGTCTGTGTCTCAGTTACTTTTTTGCATGTACTATATATATATACATGCAACAGATTCATCACTTTTTGAAAAAGCTATCCTTTCTCCATTGAACTGCTTTTACCTTTTTGTAAAAGATCAATTGACTGTGTTTGTGGGATCTTATTTCTGAGTTGAGTTTTCTATTCTATTCCATGGATCACTTTGCAAGACCTTGAACTTTGTTCCTCCTCCTCTACAACATTGTTGTCTATTCTGGTTAGTTTGCCTTTCTATATAAACTTTATAAGTAGTTTGTAAATTTTCACACAATAATTTGTTCATGTTTTGACTGGAGTTGTATTGAATTTATAAATCACATTGAACAGAATTGACATTTTAACAACACTGAGTCTTATTTTGTGAACACAGATGTTTCTTCATTCATTTAGATCTTTAATTTCTTTCAGCAGGTTTCTTTTTTTTTTTTTTTTTTTTTTTTTTGAGAAGGAGTTTCACTCTTGTTGCCAAGACTGGGCAATGATGTGATCTCAGCTCACTGCAACCCCTCTCTCCCAGATTAAAGTAACTCTTTGACCCAGTCTCCTGAATAGCTGGGATTACAGGCACCCGCCACCATGCCAAGCTAATTTTTGTACTTTTAGTAGAGACAGGTTTTCACCATGTTGACCAGGCTAGTCTAGAACTCCTGACCTCAGGTGATTCACACTCCCCTCGGCCTCCCAAAGAGCTGTAATTACAGGTGCAAGCCACCATGTTCAGCCCTCTTTTACATAGATTTTATAGTTTATCTCATATGAACCCTGCCCATATTTTGCTAGATTGTGTCTATTGCATTTTTTGATGCTAATGCAAATGGTATTGTGCTTTTAATTTCAAATTCTGGTTGTTCATTGCTGGATGTAGAACAGCAAATGATTTTGTATACTAACCTTCTATCATGCAACCATGCTATAATCTAGAAGGCTTTTTGGCTGATGCTTTGAGATTTTCTACATAGAAAATCAAGTTATCAGTAAGCAAGGAGCATTAAAATGCCTTATATTTTATATCTTTTATTTTATTTTCTTGTCTTATTGCCTTAGCTAGGATTTTGGTATGATGTTGAATAGAAACAATGAGAGGGAATATCCTTTCCTTGTTTCTTTCTTTCTTCCTTTTTTTGAGACAGAGTCTTGCTCTGTCCCACATGCTGGAGTGCAGTGGCATGATCTCAGTTCACTGCAACCTCCGCCTCCTGGGTTCAAGCAATTCTCCTGCCTCCACCTCCTGAGTAGCTGGAATTACAGGTGCACACCACCATGCCCAGCTAATTTTTGTATTTTTAGTAGAGATGGGATTTCACCATGTTGGTCACGCTGGTCTCAAACTCCTGACCTGATGATCTGCACACGTCAGCCTCCCAAAGTGCTGGGATTACAGGCATGAGCCACTGTGCCTGGCCTCCTTGTTTCTTAGGTATAAAATGTCTAGTTTTTCACATTATGTATGATATTGTCTATATGGTGTTCTTTTAGTAGATGTTCTTTATCAGTTGAGGAATTTCCCTTCTATGTCTAATTTATTAGCTGGAAGTTTTAACCATGAATGGGCTTTGGATTCTGTAAAATGCTTCTTGACCTATTAATATAATCAAATAACTTTTCTTCTTTAGCTAGTGTGTGATGGATTATCTTAACTATTTTGAGTGTTGAGCCAGCCTTGCATACCTGGAATAAGTCTCACCTGGTCTTGGTGTCTAATTCAACAATGTATTGCTGGATTCAGCATGCTAATATTTTGTTGAGCGTTTTGATGAGCGATATATGTCTGAACATTTATTTTTCTTTACATGTCTTCTGCTTTTGGTATTAGAACCTCATAGAATGAGTTTGGATATGGTCCCTTTGCTTCTGTTTTCTGGTAGCAATTGTAATTGGCATCTTTTCTTCCTTAAATGTTTCATACAGGACAAGGCATGGTGGCTTATGCTTGTAATCCCAGCACTTTTGGAGGTTGAGGTGGGTGGATCCCAAGGCCAGAAGATAGAGACCGTCCTGGCCAACATGGTGAAGATGTTTACAGGTGCAACGATTCAGTCTCTATTAAAAATACAAAAATTAGCCGGGTGTGGTGGTGCACACCTATAGTCCCAGCTACTCAGGTCACTGAGGCTGAAGAATCGCTTGAATCTGGGAGGTGGAGGTTGCAGTGAGCTAAGATTGTACCACTGCCACTGCACTACAGCCTGGGCAACAGAGCGAAACTCCATCTGAAAAAAAGAAAAAAAATGTTTTGTACAATTATCTACTGAAATGATCTAGGGCTGTGGGTTTCTTTCTTGGAAGGTTGTTAATTATTTATAGATTTCTATACTAGACAAAGACTTACTCGGATTATCTGTTTCTCCTTTTATAAGTTCTATGGACTAAATTTTTGTGTCTCCCCAAAATTCATGTACCACTACCTAATCCTCAAAGTGATGGTATTTGAGGTCCTTTGAGAGGTGATTAAGTCATGAGGATGTAGCCCTCATAGGTGTGATTAGTGTTTTTTTTTTAAGAAAGATTCTTCACCCCTTCTGTTATGTGAGAACATCTTGAGAAGATGGCTTCCATGAGCCAGAAAGTGAGTCCTCACCAGACATGAAATCTGTTGGTGCCTAGAATTGATCTTGGACTCTCTAGCCTTCTCTAGAACTAAGAGAAATAAGTTTTTGTGTTTATGAGCTACCCAGTTTATGGTATTTTGGTATAGCATCCTGAACAAGCTAACACAAGAAGTTTTGGTAGTTTGTTCTTTCAAGATATGGATCCGTTTTTTCCAA